AAATAGCATTAGTCCTTGAATCCCCACGTGTTTACTAAAATAATTTTCAGTTTAAGCATTAGACAAGATTATGATTTCAAATCAGTATCATTCCTCATGTAAGTGCTTTAACCTAGACAACAATGGTGAGGTTAAAGAGGTCATAAAACTGCATTTTGTTGTGCATCACTGTCATTTCCTTTTTAGTGCTACATTATGCATTCAGTGTAATCTATGATATTGTGTGTTTTTGTTGCATAGATCTCGTCATCCTCCACCTCGACTCTGGGCAGCCATATGCGTGTGTTGTTCCTGCTGATGTGTTTGTTTGTGTCCTCTGGGGTTCTCACTGTATTATGTGGCCTGCTGGGGTTTTCCCATGGTATGCACACTCTCTCCTTTATGGCAGTTGAAGTAAGTTTGAATGTGTGTGCATGTGAACCTGTTTGTATGTGTGCATCTTAAGTCTGTATCATTTAAAAACAAATGTATACACAGTACTTGTTTTCACGTGTACGAATACTTAAAAAGTCATTGTTTTTACAGTGCCTTATGGTACTGTATATATGAGCCATGCAATTCTTCGGTAAGTAAGAAAAGTTGAATTTGTATGGTTGATTGGCTTGTTATTATTCATAAATAGAATTGCTTAGATTCATAAATATTATTGTATTCATAAATAGAATAGAATTATTCATAAGTAAATATTTGGTTGTAACAGAACTCAAGTAAAGTACAGATTGATATAAAGACCCATAAGAAGTGACTGGAATGCCATTGTTCTATGCATTTTTAGGATACATTATACCTTATACAGTGCTGCTGGAAAGTTTGTGAACCCTTTAGAATTTTCTATATTTCTGCATAAATATGACTCAAAACATTATCAAAATTTCACACAAGTCCTGAAAGTAGACAAAGAGAACCCAAACAAACAAATGAGACAAAAATATTTTCTTTGCTATTTATTTTTTGAGAAAAACGATCCAGTGTTATATATCTGTGAGTGGCAAAAGTATGCGAATCTTTGCATTCAGTATCTGGTCTGACCCCCTTTTGCAACAATAACTGCAGGTAATGTTTCTTGTAACTGCTGATCAGTCCTGCACAACGGCTTGACACCAGACGCCAGACCCTGACACAGCTCTGTGATATTGGTGGGTTTCCTCCTATGAACTACTTGCTTCAGTTCCTTCCACAAAATTTCAATTGGGTTAAGGTCCGGACTTTGACTTGACCATTACAAAACATTTGCTTTGTTCTTCTTTAACCATTCTTTGGTAGAACAACTTAGGTTCTTATGCTGGAATGCAGTGTGTTCTTTTCTTCAAACATAACACTTCCTAACACAGGAAACACAAAAAGTTCTATTTTGGTCTCATCTGTCCACAAAACATTTCTCCAGTAGCCGGATCCAGTAGTGGCTTGTCCGCATGATCTTTAGCAAACTGCAGAATGGCAGCAATGTTCTTTTTGGATGCACCATGCACACCGTGGTTGTTCAGTGTTCTCTTTTCTAGCCTGATGAGCAACAACAACTCTTTTTTTCTGAGGTCCTCAGAGATCTCCTTTGTTCATGCCATGATACACTTCCACAAACATGATCAGACTTTGATAGATCCCTGTTCTCTAAATAAAACAGGGCACACACTGACACCTGATAGTCATCTCACTGCTTAA